GCCTCCTCTTTGAGAATTCCTCCATTTTTTGATTCTCTTTTCCTGTTAGCTCAGCCAGATGGAGGAAAAATTTTCTTCTTTTTTTTCCTGACTAGTGAAAAGTTATTTATCGTTAAATTTTATTTCAAATTGCTTAGTTTTATTTTGTTGCTTATCAAGATTGTTTAAATATGTCGTGACTGAAGAAGGGTTTTGCTTTGCTCCCTGGTTGTTGGCCTAGAATCAAACTTGAACCCTCTAGATTTGAAAGTCAATAATCCAACTCTCTCTCCCATGCATCTTAAAGGTCAGCAAACTAAAATTTGTCATACAAATTGTACTTTTGTCAAAAAATGAAGAGATACCTGTTATGTTGAGCTACATCAGTTAACTGGGCTGCTAGAAGTTTTCCACCACCTTACTTAAAATCTTTAAGTACTAGCTTATTTGTCATTTGTTAAATGATATAAGAGAAAGAAATTTGGGATCTAACCCTTATAAAATTTTTATTTTATAACTATGGTGAATATTACTCAAGCGGCATGATTTCAACTCAAGTGAGGCTTAATTCAAACTCAAAGTTATATCTTAATCAAACATTCCTGAGTTGCGTAGAACCTGTCTTGTTAGCCAATGAACAAGTTTAAAAAGCTCACATTTCTTTGTAATTGATTATATTTTACATTTTTTTTGCATGCACTCATCTACAACCTTTAATTGCATACCAGCCTCCACCCTTGCATATATACACAATACTTTTCAAAATGTTCTCACAGGTTAAGAGGAATATTGAATGTACAGTGCCAAAAATCATATATATATACACTGAGTGTTTAAATGGTATACTTACTTAATGTATAATCTATAAATGTATATATGGTTGCGAACAAGTGATGTGAATGCAAATGTGTAAGTATATTAAAAAACTAACACAGTGGCTTCAAATAATTCTCATAGGTCAAGCATACTAGATGTTCTTTCTGAATCCCATCTTGAGTTGGCTTTGCTTTACCGATTATCCCTACTTCCTTATGCATATGTTGTTTATATCCCAGATATTTCGTTGTAACTGTTTATGAAGTGAGACTAAATTATTTTTATATCCTATGATGATGTCTAACTCATGGGTATAAATTTTGTAGATATATCTATCCTAGTATTACATTGCTATTGACTTCACAGTCTAATTATTCATCATATATCAGTCTTTCATAGTTAAAATAAGAAGATATAAATTTATTAGATGAGTCAACTTGTTTTGGTCATTAATTTGAGGTAATTTTTTCTTCATTTGATAGATAGATTCTGAAGAGGATTTTTTGATGCAATGGTGAGAAATGCGTTGGAGACTTGTAGCTTGCCTTATTTGTCTTGTTGTTCAGTATTGTGCGGCTTGAATGTATAATCATAACAAGAAAATAACTTATAATATGAGTTTCACAAGAGAAAGGATATGTAAATAAGTGTTGTATCGAATAACTTGTACTTCTAGTAGTTGAGATATTACTAGAATGAGTTCTAAAGCCTTCTTAGGATTGTGTGACATGTTAGAAAGAGATGGTGACCTGATGCCCACAAGGTACTTAAATGTGGAAGAACAAGTTACTAAAACCCTTTACATCTTATCACATAAAACAAAAAACCATGTGGTTAATTTTTGGTTTAGGCGTTCTGGTGAGATGGTTAGCTGTCATTTCCATAGCGTGTTAGGTGCTATCATTAAATTAGAAGATAAATTCCTTATACAATTAGATGGCTCTAGAGTCCCTCCTGAAATTAAGGTTAATGACAAATTTTACCCATATTTTAAGGATTGTGTTGAGGCTATAAATAGAATACATATACGTGCCAAAGTACCTATGATAGATGCTCCTTGTTATCGCGGTAGAAAGGAATTCCCTACACAAAATGTGTTAGCAGCTTGCACATTTGATTTAAGGTTCACTTATGTGCTTATTGGATGGGAAGACACTACATCTGACTCAAAAATTATAAAAGATGTATTAATACGAGAAAATAGACTTAAGATTCTTCAAGGTAACTATTTCACTAATTAGTAAAAAGTGACATAATTAAATAACCTTACAAATTTAAGACTAATAAAGTGACTATTTTATTTGATGATGGGGAAATATTACTTGGTCGATGCTGGATTCATGTTAACAAGTGGTCTTATAACACCTATAGAGGAGTTCACTACCATTTGAAAGAATATTCAGATAGAAATTCACCCCGAAGTCGTAGAAAACTTTTCAATCTTCAACATGCATCATTGCGTAATGCAATTGAACAAGCTTTTGGGGTACTGAAAAACAAGATTTGTAATTTTATCAAGTGTCACAGAGTCTACTTATAGAGTCAAAACTCAAAAGTTGATTATTGCTGCATGTTGCATTTTTCATAATTACTTGATGAATGTAGACCCTGATGAAGAGCTTATCCGTGAAGTGGATGATGAGAGTGTAACTCAAGATGAATCTAACAATAATAGCTATACTCCAAGAGGTGACAGAACTGAGACAGCTCAAGGTGAGATGATAAGGGATGCAATAGCTCATCAAATGTGGGATTAATTATGGAAATAATCATAGGAATAATGCTAGGAACTAATCCTTACATGTTCTTTTATTGTATGGTTAGTAGTTTATTGTATTTCTTGAATATGAACAATTAGTATGGCTCCAAAGACTACTGATAAGAACTTGGTTAGGACTTCCAAGATGGATGATGCCATGATTGATGCACTCATGCATGAACTTGATATCGGAAACAAAGTTAATGGAACATTTACAACTATTGCTTATGATAACATAACACAATATTTGAGTATCCTGTTTGGATTTAAAGTTGATAAGGAGAAGGTCAAAAACTATTGGAAGACTTTAAAGAAGAATTTTTCTGAAATTCATGACATCTTCAAGGGGGTATGAGTGGCTTTTCATGGAACTTGTCCACTAATAGATGAGAAACTAAGGAGCAAGTTTGGGATCAATTAATTGATGTAAGAATAGTAAATCCTTCATTCTGAAATTCATATGATTTTACACGTTTACTTTCCAATGAATCTATTATTTGGATATTCATGGTATAAAATGTGTTCTTTAGGTTAAACCAAAAGCAGTCCTTTGGAGAAATACGTTTCTACCTAATTACGAAAAGATGTTAGTTTTTTATTGAAATGATAGAGCCAATGGAGATGATGGTGATACTCCTATAAATATGAAGAAACGACGACGTGTAAATCCTCATAAATTTGTTGATTCTATCAACGAGGTTGATCAACTTGACTCTCAAAATGAAGTGACTTTGGAGAATTTCTTAATCAATATGGAAACTCTCCCGCTTGGTGACCACTCTCCAAAAGCAAATAACGAGACTAATAAGAGGACAAAAAAGTGGTACATCTAAAGATAGAGATCCTTTCCAAATACCTCTAATTGTAGAAAAGATGGAATTCATTGCAAATGCTTTGAGTGAAGGAAACAAAATATTTAAAGATGGATATGTCCCACAAATTTCAGGGGGAAGAAACTTTAAAGATGATTGTTGATGCTGGATGTGAGGAAGACAAGATCTCTAAAATTTATTGCTTCCTCATGAATGATGTGGCCAAGTTAAGGGCAGTAATTCAATGTCCACCTCTGCCGCGCAAGCAAGTGATTATGGAGATGGTTTTCGGTTCTTAGTTTGTTATTGATTGGAAGGAAAACACTCTTTTGTTGTAGACACTTTGTAAACACTTATTTTGACATGGTCTTTCTTTTGAATTTTTTTGTTTGTCCACATGATGGCATTTGATGGCATTTTATGCCATGCCCTGTGATATTTTATAAGGTCATGTGATGGCATTTGATCACATTTTATGCCAAGCTGTTGATATTTTGTAAAGCCATATGATGATAGATGCTAAAATTTTATGCCATGTCTTATGATATTATATTGTGCCATAGAATCAAGTTTATAATTATTTTCATTATCTTCTTTCAACATTAGAATGATATTTATAACTAGAATAATGTTTATAATCTTCTTTCAACATTAGAATAATATTTATAATTACTCATAACTTTCAGTATAATTTTGGATATAAAAACAATTATAGTTATTAATTATGTATTATGATTTTATTTATTTAATTTTGCTAATTATAAAAAGTTGATCTCATATATTAAATGTTATTTATAATTATATTTTATTAATTATTCTATAAAGTTTGTAAAAATCAACTTAAATAATATAAGGGTAAAGTTGTCTATACAAAAATATTTTGCCTCCCCTCCCTTCTTAAACCAAATAAGATAACATTAAAACTTCTCTTCGTCCATCGAATTAATTCAAACAAAATAATATTAAAATTCATCTCCTCTTTTTTATTTCTTTCTTTTTATTAAAATCCCTCCTTTCCTCACTATTGAGCCAAATACACCGGACCTGGCTTCTCTCCGCTACCCTCCTCTACCCAAAACACTGCCGTTTTGGGTGCAAAATGAGAGGAGCTGATTGTTTTTTTTTTTTTTTGTATTTTGAAGTTTTTTTTAGTAGCATCTAAAATATTTTTTTGGTAGCACCTAATGTCTCATAATAATTTTTGGTACACTTAATACTCTAAAATATTTTTTGATACATTTAGTATCTTAAAATATTTTTTTCATAAGCATCAAATATCCTAAAATAATTTTTTGTTACATTCAGTATTATATAAATGCTACTAAAACAACTTCAAAATACAAAAAAAAAAAAGCAATCAGCTCCCCTCATTGTACACCCAAAACGGCAGTGTTTTGGGTAGAGGAAGGCAGCGGAGAGAAGCCAGGTCCAAATACACCCGAGGCATGGAAATTGAAAGGCGGGACCGGGCCGGGTTTCGTCAGCACGGAGCGCACGTTAGCTCACTTCACGGAGCAAGAAACCCACACTGCCTGCGCCCCCTAGCTTCCACACACCTAACCAAAACATATCTCTGTGACACCATCACCTGTTTTACAAAATCTCGTCATCCCCCTCCCTTTTTTCTCTGTGTAAATTAGGGTTTCTTTCTGGCTCAGTCTTTATCACACTCCGCTAATCTTTGGATTCTTAGAGACTTTTTGTGCTTCAATGCCTGCGAATTTTGTCTGCAAATTCCAGAGAGTGCCAAGCGGTTCCATTCTTGAGCGATTTTGGCATAGAGCGGAGGCGGGCTATTCGATTCAGTTTATATCACTTGCCCTGATTTGACTATAGCTGCGGTGGCTTCCTCTTATGGCGCCTAGCCGCAGAAAGGGCGCTAGCAAAGCAGCCGCCGCTGCCGCCGCTCGCCGCCAATGGAAGGTCGGCGATCTTGTACTTGCTAAAGTGAAAGGCTTCCCTGCTTGGCCTGCTACGGTAGGTGCTCCCTTTTCAACTACTGGTGAAATTATCTATTTTGCGGTCGGCTGTAGTGTCTATTGTTTACTTTTATTATTTTCTTTCATTGCATGTTGCTTATATTCTGAGCATTTCCTTTTGTGTAGAGTCCAATACTTCATTTTCGTTAGAGCGCAAGCGTGTCTGCCTGGATTTATGAATTTTAATTTCAAAGTCATCGGTTCTTGGATACTTTTTTTTGCGCGATTAGTTATCTGTAAGTGTTTAGAGTTGATTCAGACGGTGGATTGAGGAGGGGTGTTCCTAGTTTTCTTGCCTTACATGTTCCATCCCCATGAGCCTTGTGGATTTTGGTTACTCCTTGGGTAGACCAAATCGCACACTTGTAGAGATATTTAGTCAAAGTTTGAATTAAAGCTTTGCATTAGACGTACCCCCGCCCACGCACACACATTAAACATGAAAAATTTATCTTTCTATTTGGATCATTAGAAATGTATCCTTTTAAGAACAACGATCTAAGAAGGTAGAGGGTAGAGACAATATGCAATGCCACTTAGAGCGACTGCGGTACTTGTCCATCTTCCCCCTACCAGGAGAGCAAACAAAATATGAGGAAATTGACATATTTAAGTAAGGGGCAGGAGAAGGGGCGAATATGTGCCTTTTATCCTCCATGGTAATATGCGATTGTCACATGTTAACTGCTATGATATGCTTATATTTACTTATCTATTTTTAAATTTTTCCCTCTAGGTTTTTAGGGGTAAATTTTAATTGGCTTGTCAAGTTATTTGCTTCTCGCAGGTAAGTGAGCCTGAGAAGTGGGGTTACTGCACTGACTGGAAGAAAGTACTTGTTTACTTCTTTGGCACCCAACAGATGTAAGTTTTTAACGCCATATCTTTTTAATTGCTTAACATCGATTAGCAAGCTTAAAGCTTATGGCTATTGTGTGCTATATCATTTTTGGAATCAAATATGCATTACGAAACAGATATTTGACACTGTTTATTTTATTGTTTGGCAAAGACTGGAGATGCTGAATATTTGGTGTTGAGATGGTCTTGCTGCTAATGTCTCAAAGATTTGGCATTTTTCTATGAACTGTTTAGGTTGGGGCTTCTAGTGATGTAATCATGTGCTCATTTCGCAGCCTTCTTTTCTATGAACTAAACTAGATGGGTTATAGGAGTAAAGTTGTGTTCTTGTGCCAAAGTGGTTCTCGTTTTGTTTTCACATGTTAATGGTTGGAGGCTTGGCGAATTTTCTTTGTTAATTTTTGGGGAGGTTCAACCTGTTGGCTCTCAATCACCATAGATCACTTATGACAATAATAATTGTTGATGAGAGGTCTTCTTGTTTCTGGAGATATACCATTACCAGATCTTATGCTCCCTGGGTTCAAAATATGAGCATCAAATTTTTGAAGGGGCTTGGTTTTTTTAGAAGCATCACTTCAGATTTGTCTGATCATTTAATATATATTTTTATTTTTACCCCTAATTAATTATAGGTCTCATATCTTTTTCTACTCATTCTCTTTCACCTCCTTTTCTGCTTATTCTCGCTCCCACTTACCCTCCCTATAAATAAGGGTCTTTTAGGAAAACAAGTTGCATTTTCTACATATTTATTATCTTTAATGAATTTTAATTAACTTTTTGAATTGCATGAATTAGTTATTTAATGTTTATATTTTGAACCGGACGGGGTATATGGGGACTACTAACCTCCAGAACTTAGCATTTTGACTAAAAGTTCTCATTCTTTCATTGAAAAACATGATAAACCCAAAGGTATATAAGTTGGTATTTCACAATGCAAATTTCTGCGCCATTATTTGGTGAGGGGAAATGAATGGAATACTGATTATATTTAGCATCCCCTACAGTCTCCGGGTAGCATTGATGTATTATCTCTTAGGTTTAGTCATTGTTTTTGGCATGCTGAGAACAACTCTAAACATGAGATGATGTGACACTATTGAAAGTTTTGTGACCGTGCATAGGGAGTAATGCTGCTGACTCTGCCTTTCTACTTATTTCATATGATGGGAATGTTCTATGTAGTGGCTACCCTGAGAAGCTTCATGTATTTCCTTTCCAAATGTTTTGGCTTCAATTTTCTACAGCTTATGTCCTAGAACTCCAAGTCAGTTTTGGATTATGTTAATGTAGCGCCTGTTTTGTGAGGAGATCCTGACAACCTGTTGGGACTTGTTATGATTTGTAATCTATCAAGTAAAATTCTGAGGTAGGGAAAAATTGAGTCCTTCTTTTTAAGTTTATTTTGAAATATTCACATCAGGAAAAATTGGCGTTTAGTCTAGAATTACTCTTCCTGATTTATCAGGGGGCGCATGTTGTAAACATGGATGAATTGAAAAGATTTGCTACTTAAAATTATTAATTGAGTGATAAACTGTACTGACTTATGGGGACTTGTTCCCTTGAAAGTTGGGATTGAAATAGATCTTTATTGTTAGTAGCTTCTTGTTCGCACGTGAAGTAACTTCATTTGGTCGGGAGCTGGAATGAACGTTTTGAGCTTTCAGGGGCTTTTTCTTATTGACTATGATAATTGACCTAGGACTATGTCTTTGGGCACAACACAGTGTGTCCTTAGATATGTGCTTGAACAAATTTGAAGTTCACTTTTGACTTGAAGAAGAGATCTTCGAAGCAATCTCTAGTCTCTAGTTTAAAAGTAGGGGATCATTGCCTTAGCTACACTAGCTTAAAAGGGAAGAAAGTATTTAGAGACTGTGGTATAAAATGCGTAGTATCCTATATTTTCATTCGTGTTTTGATTGAATAAATGCTTGATAAAGATTGAGTCGAGATATGTAAAATCTGGGTTGCAATGTGAAAAATTAAAAATTTTGATCTAGGGCCTACATATGTAATTTTTATCTTCATGCCATTTTAGTTTCCTTCCAATGCATGAGCATATAATTTGCTCGACTATCATGTTGCATTAGGTTTAAAATGGTAATTTGTCATGCAGAGCTTTCTGCAATCCTGCTGATGTTGAAGCATTCACTGAAGAGAAGAAACAATCTCTTCTTGTCAAACGTCAAGGAAAGGGTGCTGACTTTGTCCGTGCGGTGCAAGAGATTATTGATAGTTATGAGAAATTGAAGGAAACCCAAGTTGACATAACTGACTCTGGTGAAGTGTCCGGTGTAAATGTTACAATTCCTGTTGATTCATCAGCCAAATTATCTGCCAACTTAGGGTTAAAGGATGAGACACGGGACCATGATTCCGTACATAATTCTCAAATTCAAACTTTGACTTCTTTCACTGACCAACATGAGACAACGCACGCAGCTGAGGAAGTCTTGGCAGTTGCACCAAAGGATGAATCATCTAGTAAAGAGACTTCATCAAAGGAGCTTATTGATAATGCTGGTGCTACTGCAAAATCTCCTTATCCAGTTACTTACTCTTCTAGAAAAAGATCTGTGGACTTGCGTCCTCAGGGTAATGTCTCACAGAGAAATGCACCTGTTCAGAAGTCTAGAAGTTCATCACGAGTCCAAAGCTTTGTGAGGCCTTGTAGTGATGGTGGGAAAAGTGCTGTTGATGGATCAGCTAGTGCAGCTCAGAATGTATCTGTGAGAAGAAGTAAACGCGGCAGGAAATCACCTGATATTTCTGAATGTGATGATGCTGATCCATCTGCATTTGCTTCAAATGACAGCACGGAAGACAATCGTTCTGAAATTCTCACTATTGATTCGGATCCCCTTAGCCTGAATGAGGGAAGTACCATGGACTCAAACTGTAAACTCGAACTCTCTGAGACTATTGAGTGCGCAGAAGGAGAATTTGAGTTGAGCAAAGGACTTGTTGAACTAAAGACTCTAGTCAAGAAGAAAAAAAGAAAGCCAAATCGAAAGCGGTTGACTGATGATTCTGCCAAGCGAACCACTATGCCAGAGGAGGATGCTGGTGTGTTGAATTCTAGTCAAAGGTCACAGGATGTTTGTGAACGCCCAAAAGATAGATGCTCCAAGCAAGATGGTGATGAGCACCTGCCACTTCTGAAACGAGCTAGAGTCAGAATGGGTAAATCATCAGCTACAGATGCGGAACACAATAGCATTACAGAATCTCAAGATAAAAGATCTGAGGAGAACAGTATCAACTCATTTCAGCATGTATCCTCAACTCATGACAATCTTAGTATTGCTGAGGGAGACTTGTCTGTGTCAAATATGGTAATGGATAATGTTTCTCCTCCAAAGAGTTCTGTCCCATGTTCTGAAAGTGGGCCTCAGATTTGTAAAATTAAAGACCAAACTTTAGGCTGTTCTTTGGATGTTGAAGCTGCTTTACCTCCATCTAAACGCCTCCATCGAGCTCTAGAGGCCATGTCAGCTAATGCTGCTGAAGATGGTGATGATCAAGATCGTGCAGAATTATCACACAGCACAATGACATCAAATAGTAGATGCTGTACATCTTCCATCAATAGATGTTCTTGTACAGCCTCTAATAATCAAGGTGAGAATGACTTTGAAATGCTAGAGATGGGCACTTGTGGCAATGATTCTTCTCATTTTAAAGCATGCAATTTCTCAACCAGTTTAAATTCAGTAATTTGTAATCCTTCAGAGAATAAATTATCTGTAGAGATGGATAAGCAAATGATTGAGCTTCCAACCCATGAAATTTGCAAGGACGTCCTACCATATGGCAAAGACAGAGAAGTCGACAAAGAACCTACTAATTCTGTGGTATGTCAGACTGATGGATCTGACGCCCCAATTCATTTACTTGGAAATTTGTCTTCTAATCTTGAAATGAAATGTTGTGAAGTTGGAAGCAGTCAGGATTTGCCTGGTTCATTGCTGATCCCAAATGATGAAAGCAATATCAGAGCCGCTGACATTTCAAATAAAGCATCTGGTTTATCAGAACGTATAGGAACAGGTCATGATCCCGCATCAGGTGCCAATGAAAGTGGTGAATTTTCAACCCAAAATATTGCTCATGTGCCTCAAAATGAAGTTCCTCAAGATACTGGGTGCTTGAAGCTGGCTGTTGATGATAGCAGCAATTTGAATGAGATGTAAGCCTAATCCTGCCTTGCTTTAGTTTTTAGCCTTCTAAATCTTCCTTCCATGCAGAAGTATAATAGAAAGAAAGAGAACTAGTTGTGTATTATTAAACCACTTACAGCACCTTCCTGATCCCTTGTTGTATCGGTAATAATTATTATTGTAGAGTTGCTGGGTTGAATTTCTGTTGCCTTCTCTAGATTATCCTTGTGTCACTGTGTAAGTAGTTGCGGTTTTCAACCTTAAATTTCGGTGAGTTTAAAGGAAAAGTCAGGGAGAGGAATTATTTTTTAATAATAGTGAATCTCAAAAGAGATATTTGTTTTGCATTCTTTCTACACAAAGTTCATGATATTTAGTATCTTGTTTCAGGTGTGAGGCTGTGAAAGACGTCACATATAAAGGGCCTAAGGAGGATATGAATTCTGGTTCAATTTCTGATGATTGCTTTGGTGAAAAGGATATTATAGGTCTTCAGCCAAGTCCATCTTTGACAGATGGGGGAGATTGCCCTGCACAAGGATCCCCACCAAATACGTCATTTTGCAATGTTTCTACATCAGACAGTAGCAATATCCTTCAAAATAATGGCAGTTGTAGCCCTGATGTGCATTTACACCAGAAGCAAACTTTTTCTGGTCCTACTGGTGATGGGAAGATCGATGGGTTTGCAGCAACTCAACGATCAAAAAACAAGTCCACTGAAGCAGGACATGCTGCTCTGCTGTACTTTGAAGCAACGCTTGGGACATTAACAAGGACAAAGGAGAGCATTGGGCGTGCCACACGCATTGCTATTGATTGTGCCAAGTTTGGCAGTGCGGCTAAGGTAACCTAATAGTGTTTGTTTTTCAGTTTTTCCCTCCAGAAATATCAAAATGATTTATTTTCAATGATTTTGAGGCATGAATGGTTTTATTTGTACTCCAAACAATTAATCTTTTTATGATTTCTTTTCTCTTTTTTATGTATTTTGTACCTGACCAATTTGACTTGTGGATTAAATTCTTGTTTAATGAAAGCTTTATATTGGCCTTTGATTTTGATTCTCTGTTGGTGTGAAGGGTTTATTTCTGAGTGAATAGTGCCACCTGCTTGAAACATTAAAACCAATTTACTGCTTGTGGAATGCTTCAGATGCTCCAATGGTGCAACAACCGTATCGTATACTTATAGGTGGAATTTGTTATGGAAAATCAATTTGGGACTCTTTGAAGATATCATTCACAGTCGTTCACACCCCATCTTTTTTCAGATGCTCTATCTACCTTTTCCTCAAATATTTCTCCCTTTTGCGACTTTATATTTCTTGTTCTGTGGAAGAAATTGGGAAGGCTAATGGAAAATAAATTTATACTGCTTTTGTGATGTAAAAATTTGAATTTTGGCATCATTGGTTTGATGCATGCCATGCGGTTTCTGTTTCAAATTTTGATTTGTTTAGCAAGGACCATTTTGATACTCAAACTTTATGGGCCTGTCAAGACTGAGAAGCTGCAAGAGCACTAGATATTTTGAAACTGGGAGTCTGCATTTGGTTGCCTTGGTGACCTTGGTTATAGTGATTTTTGTTTTAAATTTTGTTTGAGAGGTTATTGTGCATGTATGGTGATTAATTTCAGGGCGGAAGTGTTTTGAATTGTTTTGTGACTAGGCTTATTGTCTTTTTACTTCATTAAGGTGGTTCCCCACATTAAGTAAATAGGCTTGTATGTGTATCATAGATGGGGAATGGTTTATTTCTGGTCAAATGAGAGTTTATGCCCAGGGTAATTGCTTGTGAAATCAACTTTAAGATGTTGATCCCTGAAGTCATACGTTTTGTGAGAACGCACTTTCTAACGAGTACGAGGATCAGGCATATATTGAGCCTGGAGGGTTATTACTAATGAGTACTTCCTTCGCTATTCAGGTAGTTAGAGTTTAGTGAGAACTCACTCTCTAGAATGTTTGTATAGTTTCTGAAAAGCATTTTTAGGAACTGTTTTGCTGTTTTCCTATGTAGAAAAACGTACTAGGGTCTGTCATGGTATTCTTAAATCATGGGGAAAGAAAAATATATACATTGAGGTAGAGGTTTTTATGATCCCATTTTCACAGAAGGCTGGATTAATTAGTTTGACTGAGTACAATAACTTCAAAATAGGCACAAGTATGGTTCATTTATTGTAGTTATTCAACTGTTGTTTTGTTAGCAAATTTGCTCCTTAATTAGAGAAGTTCGTTAATTAATTAATTAATTTATTCGATGTTTTAGGTGGTGGAGATTCTTGCCCATAGTCTGGAAACTGAGTCAAGCTTGCATCGACGGGTGGATTTGTTTTTTCTTGTTGATTCCATTGCGCAGTGTTCTCGAGGTTTAAGGGGTAACGTGTCTATCACTCGATGCTGCTTTAATCTTGTTGAGAAAAAAAATAAAGGAAAGGAAGGTTGTAGATGAAATTCAATGACTCGGTGGGATATGTGTATATGGTATTTGATGTTAAATTTCCTTTGAACTTTCAGGTGACGTTGGCGGAGCATATCCTTCTGCTATCCAAGCAGTTCTGCCACGCCTATTGTCAGCTGCGGTGCCTCCTGGAAATACCGCACAAGAAAATCGTAGGCAGTGTCTTAAGGTAAGTTAATGAAGTTCCCCATCTGCTTAGGTTAAAACTGTGTGTTTTGATGTCACCTCTATGCTTCTGTATCATTATACTTGTTAAACTTTCCTCTAAATGTGTCAAGGTTCTAAGGCTGTGGTTGGAGAGAAGAATTCTGCCAGAATCAATTATACGTCATCATATCCGGGAATTGGACTTGTATAGTGTGTCTGCATCTGCAGGTGCCTTCTCGCGACGTTCTTTAAGAACAGAGAGGGCTTTAGATGACCCTATCAGGGATATGGAGGGTATGCTTGTAGACGAATATGGAAGGTTTGAATTTGCTGCGGAATTTTTTCTTTACTTTTATTTTCACTTGTTCATGTACTTTTTGAAGTGAGTCTTTTAAAATTATGTTTTCATCTTGCAGTAACTCGAGTTTTCAGCTACCTGGATTTTGCATGCCCCGAATGCTTAAATGTGAAGATGATGGGAGCGATTCTGATGGGGGAAAATTTGAGGCAGTCACTCCTGAGCATGATTCTGAAGCACACGAAGTGTGTGAAATGACTCCTACACTTGAAAAGCATAGACATATCTTGGAAGACGTTGATGGTGAGCTTGAAATGGAAGATGTGGCTCCCTCTTGTGATGTCGAAATGAATTCAATTTTAGATATTAATAATGGAGGAAATGGGGATGCCGCACATATGTCTAATTGTGTGACAAGTAATCTGATGGAGAAGAACATTCCTGTGTCCTTTGTTCCTCCTTTGCCTCAGGATGTACCTCCATTGTCCCCTCCTTTGCCATTATCCTCTCCACCTCCCCCACCGCCACCCCCACCCCCTCCCCAACCTCCTTCCCTCCCCTTCACGCCAGCTATCTCTCATCCATATAGCACTGGAGCTATTTCAAAACTCAATAAAGATGCACAGGTATGTTTCACCACTTTGCAAGGTACCTTAAACTCATACTTTTGCTTATATTGCTGACAAGTCGTTTTGCTCTACCTTTCCATGGGTGCCTATATTTGCAGATTGTGAAAGATAACCCACTGCCCTCAGTGACTGAGGCTTTGGCCGCACCAAGGGATAACCAACCTTTGCATGAGGTTGTTCCCTATCGAGTTCCAGAATGTAGGGATATGCCAATGCAGCTGCCTGAGTCTACTTCCTCTTTCAGCAGTCATCCACCGCCACCTGACAACTTTCGTTATTTTGATGGTGCTAGTGTGCATGCTAAAGGTTACCCTTTACGTCCACCTCATCAAGTGCCCTCCAATCAGTTTTCTTTTGTTCATGGGGACCAGCATGTGAAGCCACGAAGGGAGGCTCCACCCCCTTCATACTCCAATAGACACCACTCTATGCATAACACGGAGAGAGAGAACTTCCGCAATAATCATGATAGATTAAAACCACCTCCATATGACTTCCGAGAGAGATGGAGAGTTCCTGCTCCTTACTCTGGTAAGATTGTGAGGACTTACGATTCACGTGTTATTGGGGATTATAATTTGCATTAATTTTTGCTTATATCAGCATTAATTATCTTGAGAATTGTCCCTAGGTTCTCGGTATCAAGATAGAGGTGTGCCTCCCCCTTATGGCTGTCACCCATGTGAATCAGCTGGATTACCAGACCATGGGTGGAGATTCCCTCCCCGGTCAATGAATCACAGGAACTCTATGCCTTTTAGACAACCCTTTGATGATGCCATTCCGATGGCAAGTAGAGGTGCTTTCCTCCCCTAACAAATGTTAAGAAAAATTTGCTTGTCAAAAATCTGTAGTTTGATAGTTTTCCATTCAATTGAATAAAATAGCAAGAGCTGTGCAGCTTTCTTGTTTTCCGTTTTTATTTGCACTGAAAATAAAAAAATGGCTGTGAACATGTTTGGTAGAGTTTAAAGCAACATTTTCATTCATTTTTTCCATAAACTGGATGTTTTTGTAATTTTGAAATTCAAGATAACTATTAGTGAAAAGTAAATATAATTTCACACAAGACTCATGGTCAAACTCGAAAAGTCAGGTAATATTTATGGTCATTTTTGCCTATATTTGGTTCCTCAGATGAACGATTCTTAAATGCGCAGCAAATGTCTTCTTTTGAGAATGAAAATTTGCAAATGAACACATTTTAAGAGAAATAAACGTAAATGATGAAAAGACCTGGATACTAAACTCACCATGTATTGTGTTTCAGGTCCGGGCTTTTGGCGACCAAGATGAGCAGAAATGACCAGCAAACTGAAGCGGATACGCTTCTATCTATTTGTAAGTCCTCTCAAAGGCTAAATACCTGTATTATATCTTTACTCCATGAGCGTGTTATAATTAACTCTATAGCATGGGCTCTGGCTTTGTTCAGGAGGGGGAATTTCCATTCTATCGTTTTGTACATGCTTGAACCTTTGGAGATGGTTGAGCAGAGTCTGCACAGGATATCGTAGTAATCTGCTAGATTTGTACATATGTATTTAGCCTCCTCTGCAAAATGCAGGGCAGGGAGAGTCTTTGTAGAGTGAGAGTTGTAACTTATTCAGGTTGTCATGTATCAATTTTTTAATCTCAAGTTTTATTATTTCATGAAAGCCCTTATAGAACTTAGATTGATAGCTGCATAAAATTTTCTCGGGCTGTTTCTTGAAATTGTTTATCTTAATATATTAAAGAACTTCTCTCTTCCGGGCAACTATGTTGTTATATTTCCTTTTTTTTTTTTTGGTTTTGTTTTCCGGGATGTGGTCACAACTTTAGGGTTCCCAAATGCGTTGTTTGCTGGAGGATTTTGTGAAAAGTCGTCCAAGGATTTGGTGAGTTTCAACATTAGGTTGTCTTTGGTCCAAAAACACTTCTAGAAGTGCGCCCAGAGGAATTTACCACGTTTCATCGCCTGATGTGCGATACGCGTGGTCCGTTTAGTATCCACCCAGTGACCAATTTATGGGCTGAAAAAGAAAAAGAACAAAAATAATTTCACAAATGAGAAATGCCGTAGGTGTCTCTGCATAAAAGGATCAAGGAAAATTTTAGCAGAAGATAATGATGTAATAAAAAATTGTATTAAAGTATATGAAAAACAACGATGCGAAAGGGAACAAGCAAAAATAAGACAGATTTCAAGGCAAGGTTAAAAAAAGTTAGTTCGTTTTAAAACTAATTTAAGAAATAGTTATACTTTTGGTTTTTAATATAAGATTTGTTTAATTAATTTGAATAAATTAAAAAAATTAGATAAGTTAGTTAATTATAAAAAAATATGATTTTTTTAAATCATCATAATCGTCTTTCCTAATATCTTTCTTTTCCTTCCTACCTGATTATTGTTGAGGTAGTATCAATAAGGGTAATTTAGAAAAAATAAATAAATATAAAAAATAGATCTTACAGGGATCAAGATTGACTCAATAATCAGGTTCTATATTAAGGATCGAAAGAGTATTTTTTTTCTTTGGACACACAATGAAATTATCTTGTTTTCTACTTTTTCCCGGAATATAGAATAATGAAAATTTTTTATGTGAATATTTTTTTTGCCTTATTTGATACGCAAGTATTGGGGTATTGTTCATAATTAAATCTCTTGTTGGGACCAGATGATACTATATGCAAGTGAAAGATTTAACTTTTTACTCCAAAAATGATTTAAATTTTCTTCTTCAGAGTGATTTTATCCCATTTTCTGGCGAATCGCCATTTTCTAAGCTCCAACTTAACAAGGACACTCTTTCTCTGGCGCTACCGTGCTGACTCGCAACAACGGATCGAAGACCTTTGTCACTGATGTGGGAGCAAGTGGCTGCCCGCAAGGACGTCAATCTCGGTGTCTATCATGGCAATTTTTTCTCCTACTTCACATTGCCTCTGCACGTTTCAGAGAGAGATTAAGTTGTGCAATGCAGCATCTTTTTATGCGTTAACTTGATGAAAAATTTTGAAGTAAATGGACTGAAAATCTCATTCTATTACATGAAATGCAATCAAATCTATCATGGCCATAGAGACATGCAAATGATCTGTTTTGCAGAAACTGCTTCACACTTGTGCCATCTATTTCATTCCCATTCTTGCCTACTCCTATGTTCTAACTTAAAACTATGGCATGAATTCTTTTATTTTCTCTAACTTGCTATGACGACCCTGAATGTTCTACGGTAATGCGGCTGGAGCCATCCACTTTTATAAACTGCAGAATTTACAGGTCCAAATTACAACAACACAGTTCACATCTTTCCTGCCTTTTTGTGCGAGATTGAAAGAATTACTGCGAGCCCTAAAGAAAGAATGTAATCACTAAAAAATCCAAATAACAAATGAATAGCATGAACCTATTATCATTTTCTGCACTAATAATATTTGTCATTACCTGCTACTTACTTATCACTAAGACTTTTTAGTATCCATATTGTCTTCCTTGAGAATTCACAGTTTTCCATGCAAGATTCAGCTTCTGCTGCATTTGATGACAATCTGATATATCTGGTTGGGCACCTTGCATTCGATCTCATTGATTTAACACAGAAAGGGAACCTCATCACCCTTCACGCACACCATTTTGAAGGACTTGAACGTAATTATCTTCTTATATCAAAGTTGAAAATTATTAGATTGGCCTCCACTTCTTTATCTTCTTACTGTCATCTCATCAAGAGTTTTGTTAGTCACCAATTTCCCAGCCAGAGTACGGCCTTCAAATGTCGACTCTTGAAGAGCATCCCATGATCATTTCAACAACATCAACTCTACCATGCTGAACAGCATGGCAGCACAGAGAAGTGATAATCTCGGCAACAAGATAACACTCTCTCACAGTGACGAGAATAGACACTGCAGAGTGCCCAAAAAAATGACAAATTCCTCTTAGCAAAGCAACCCATATTATACAGCATTAAATAATATTTTACTAATGGTTACTACAATATGTGGGAGAGTAACTTGTTAAAACATTTAGCAAGTCATTTATGCAAAATCCGAGTCTGTTCTAATACTGGGAAATGTTAAAATGCAGGTATGAACTCATTTATTGGCATTTCAAAAACTAGTAAAAATCTGTTTAAAATCAAGAAATTACACAGAAGGTAAGGGTGAGGGTTAGAATATTATACTTTCCCAGTTTGAAAAGGATTAACAAAAACAATAAATCAAGAAACCCCCAATCCACGCCCAGCCGGCCCTACCTACCTCATCAGGACTTAGCTTTGCACGTGGGTCGGGCCCATGAAAGCCCACAGATTGAAGACCCCATTCATACGTGTAGTGGACATGACCACAAACTGAGGGAGGGTGGCCCAATGACATCTACTATATCTGTGTTGTGGGCCTTCCTCTCATCTTGAAGATCTTCACCAGTAGGAAGCTTCTTTATATTTGCAGCACTAATAAGAAGGAACTAAAATGAATGTGAAAATGAAAGTCGTGGCGGCGGGGCCGGCATGTCCGACGGAAAATGACAAGGTTTTTGTTACACTTTACAGAGACATAGTACACGTGACCATGGAGCCTCTTGGGGAAGCAACGATGGGCCCTGGAGCTTTCATACTATGGAGTTTACATGATTTCCGGCGTCGTGTGAAAAAACCGTCATCTCTTTAGCCTCCACATGATTCTCTTTTCAATCTCAGATTTTTTTTTTCTTGCTTTCTGGTTTAGGTCGTGATTAGTACATTATTCACGGACGGCACAATAAAATGATAAGTCTTAACACATCTCAGAATAGCCATGAAAACTTTTTAGGGTTGGTGGGATATTCATATCATATACATATGTGGCTTGTTGACTGGTGGGAAGTTTAACGATGCCTCAGTTCATTTGAAGTTTGTGTAGATTGTGGAAGATCTTTTAGCAATTTGTGGTATGCAAGCGTGTTAAATCTGAGTATTTAATTTGATGTTTGTCTTGTCAACCGAAGTCTGAAACCCACTTCTCAGTTGCAATAATTTGTGTCACATTGCGCTATCAACTACAGTTGGAAGCTCCGCCAATCCACCAGCTATTTTGCTCCTCTTTTTTCTTTAGATAACCGCATGATGAACTCGCTGACTTGTGAATTTAAAACACAATAAATAGTTGCTTCCTCGTCATCTTTCATGTCTAATTAAATAGATTTATGCAGTCCACGTAAGTCATATATTGTTCATGCCTAGGCTTATAAATAATGCCTTTTCTGAATTTATTCCAATGCGTCATTAGCACTATTTGGTGCGAAGGTGTTAGATGATGAAGAGTTGAATAAGGTTTTTATTCCGAATATCAATCACTTTTGTTTTGAATTATAGTTCCAGTTGTGCGTGTGTGGGGAATTAGCAGCTGAGATTATTAATGAAGCATAGCTATTCGTTCTGTTAGCATGCCTTTTTATAACCCAAAAAAAAAAAAACGAATACTTTTCTGTGAGCTCATAACATCAAACAAAATTAAGGTCATTTCCAAAATAGTTGTCTCAGTCATCATCCGTCTGGTTAAATGTCTATTTGATCCATAATTAGAACAGAATATAGGTAGACCTTTGTATAACTACCTCTAAAGCGAATCATATGCAATTTGCACATTTTAAAAATCATGGATTGCTTATTCTAAATGGTGCAGTTTATTAGAGCTTTCATCTTATATATATTGATACTGATATTTAGATTAATTAGAATATAAAGTGGTCTCAACAACTATCATTCAAATATGGAATTAGCAGTTCGTATCATAAATCAGGCATTACAAAATCACGGGCTATTCATTCTGCTAGCATGATCTTCAGAGCTCAATGCCAAACAAAATCAGTGATCTATCTAAAATAACTGCCTCAGTCACCAACCGTCCCATTAGATAAATGTCTACTTGATTTTGATATATAGTCAGAATAGAATATACACGTATATATACTTGGATAAATAGAATATAATAGAGTTTGAACCTAATATAAACTATCTTTAAAGCTAATCATGAACAACAAATTGCATATTTTTAATATCATTGATTATTCATTCTATTAGCAGAGCCAATTTATTCAACCAATAATTCAATTTGATTGGCTGTATCACAAACTGCAGCTTATCTTTAAACGAATAAAAAGCCTTTTATTTGACGTGGACAAGGTCGTCATGGGGCATCATTATTTAATGAGTTGAAGACTGAAGACAAGATAGGTTTTCTTCTTCTTTTTTCCCCAAAGAAAACAACAGATAATTAATAAAATAGTACCACAATGGATGCATCCCACAAAAGGCAAGGAAAGGCGAAGGAGGAATCTGAGTCAGTAGAAGTGGATGAGCAGTCAGTCTCAAGCGTGTACAGCAGAGGAGACAAAGTGATAGGTGTCACTTGTATATCTTAGGTGGACACTCGGACATATCTCATCTCTACAACCATATGGACCCAAACACAAGTCATCCACCACAAATTGCTTCTTTTCATATCTCCATGCTTTTCTCTATAAATATATATGTTTGGATTCCCCAGGCCACAACGCACTGATTCAAACCTTCTCTGATAAAGCTTCAAATACACAAGAAATATGGCAGGTGTGTTCTCTGTTAGGAGTTCAAAAGTTCGTTCATGGGAAAGATGTTCCAAGCACGTCAGGCAGCAGAGGACTCGGCTTTACATAATCTGGAGATGCACTGTGTTGCTCTTGTGTTGGCATGACTAGAGGAAAGATTATCAGAGCTCGGTGGCGCTCTGTTGCAGAATGAGTCTCGTCTAGAACATTGATCAAGCACAGAGTGTGCATCTCTCTCTGAGTCTGAGGCAGGATCTAAAGTTCCAACTTTTGATGGCTAACCAAACCGATACAGTTCGCAATAGAAGTCAAATGAAGCTTGTATTATACCCTTTTTTTTTTCTGGAGGCGCCTCGGAGAAAATCAATGGTGATGTAGTTTTTTCGTTTAGGAGAAAGAGGAACTTGATGACTGCCGAATATGTAAATTACATATCGCACGAAAAGTTCAAAGAAAACTAATCTTTCATGTTTCACCCTTTAGTTCCGTTTTAGTTTTTATTCCAGCGGTTTTTCTGAGAATGAAGCGTTCCGTTCCGATGGTGACTGTATTTTATATACACAAGTCGAAGTTGATGCTAGTCTTGCTTCAAGTTATGGATGATGATGTTCCATTCTATGACACGAGGCAGAGATTCCTTTCCATATTTTTTCCTTTTTTTGAATTGAGGGAACTCAATTGTGGTTGTGGCAACCCCGTTGGGCGTTTGCACATAACACATGTTGGAGACAATGAATGAATGAAAAGGCTTGGAATCTGATAGGTAGAAACTAGAAAGTAGAAAAGAAAACAGAGTAGAAGGCAGAGACAATTTTTGGTCTTAAAAATGACACCCTGCTGTGCTGTCTGCTATTCTCACACTATAAAGATGCCAACATTTTGCCTCTGCTGCCTCTCCAATAATCTTTCCCCTTCTGTTCTTCTGACTCTTTCTTTTTCATTATTCTTTGGTGATACTTTCTTTTAATCTTTATTTCACATTCCTATAGAATATAGTCTAATATTCTGCTTTCACTTGAGAGTTGAGAGAGAAGGTTCAAGTTTTTATTTCGCTTTTTTTAAAATTAAAATATTTGTGAAATTATTATTGTGTTCCATAAAAAAAAAAAAATCTGAAGTACTTACTATTACATTTTAAAACATAATACTTTTCTAGTCCTAAATATCATACCCATTTTATAGTAATGAATCTTATATTTAGGACTGAAAGAGTATGATTATAAGTTTTATATAAGTTGATATTAACTAAAAATTTAATTATATAAGTTCTAGTCCTTAAAAATGATTGTAATTTTTGATATGATTAAACTTCAATTTTTAAAAATCTCAATTGCTTAGATGTATTTTCCCATTTACACTTCAGTCTAAGTACATGGTTGTTCCATTTTACCCTTTTCTTTTCCCCCATTAACAAAAGGTGGTGAAGACATCCATTGGAAAAGAGTTGTGTGAACTAGCTCTCTAAACCCAGACTCTGAAGGCATTTACCACAAGAAAACACTTGGTTAAGTCTGGAGAAAGTAAAATGAGAAAAGTCTGGAGATTGCAACTTCGCCGAATGGAAAATGCCCTCTGGGGCAGCAGAAAGACGTATAGTTGAAATGGTTCGTTGTTTGTTGCGAAGCATGATGGGCTAAGCCCAACTTAACAACAAAAAGAGTACAATAGCCCCAACTTATTCTTGGAGAAGGCTCGTTACAAGTCATGAAACGGTATTTCCCATGTATCCCTCAATTTCACTTACATAGATTTATCCAATCCTAAATAACAAATAATTTTTTATACTAAACACTCTTTTAATAAGTTTTTTCTCTCCCAATTCTTACCTCATACCAAATAAGACCTAAATTCTTACCTTATGTAAGGCCAACTAAATCTTATAACATCTCCTTAAAAAAAAAAAGATGTTAAAGAAGATTATGCCAAGTCCAACATAAAAAAAAGTGTGTAAAAAAAAAACACAAAAAATGTCAAAGCAGAACGTAATTGCTTTCTAAAAAAGTATTTGCTTTTTCAATTGAACTAGCACGATTGCTTAAATGAAAGAATAATGACCCATGCCCAAACGCCCCCTAATCCCTCCCCCACGCACAGTAAATAATTGGATGTCCCACTACCCACTAAGGATCTGGATAATGTTAACCCAACCAAACGCCATATTTCTTTTTCTTTTTTTTTTTTAAACAAAGTCACACAATTCTCTTCAACGTTTCCTGTACAAAATAGCTGGGAACCAAATAGCACCAACCTCAACTAAATGCAAATATAGTTAAATGTACTAGAAGTTCAAGCTATCATCTGGATGTAACTAGCATATAAACAACAGACAAGAAGACATAGCTCATTGTTTTCTATCAATGAAATCCGAGGAGTTTACGAGATACTTAATTTGTTGGATCTACAATAGCTGGACTGCTATTTGGCGTCTCCTTCTGTCCTTTTTCCTTCCTAGCAAAACTCAGGAATTCAGCTCTTGATCTTCCTCTAAGACAATATCCCACTCATCATCCAGAGGAGCCTTATATTCAGTTTTCCCGCTTTCCACTTTATTCTCACTTTCGGAGGACAGTTCACCAGTTGAGGACGCTGGCTTGGTCTTAAGTATTTCAGACGAATCACTGTGATCTGAGCCTGCATCGGTTGCCAAGCTTTTGTGAGATGAACCTGACGAAGCTAAGATACAACTAGTCTGGCTTGAGGTGAAGGATTTGCTCAAGGGGAGATTGGCATCAAATTTTGCCTTGAGAATCCTGACGTCCTGACAAATAACAGAAATTTCTCCCCTGCAAAGTTAAATGAGCAGCAAGTATGTTACAAATTATGTTGAGATAACAAATCACAAAAATTCTGTTAGGTTACAATGAAACAGCAACGGGTGAAAGAAATCTCAAACAAAATGCATTCTTTTCCGTTCCAATTTCCAAAAGACAGAAGATTAGGGGAACTTGTAATAACTTATGAGAGAAGTTCAAGGTGATTAAGAAGGCAGCAATAATGTCTAGATAGCACACACAAACCAACAGAAAGTTTCGAGTAAATGAATCAAAATATATAACAAAGCAACAGCAAAGAGATTCCAATTAGAAAGACATTCCAATAAAAATGCATTCAAGTAACAGTTACAAACATAAAATAACTTACTGCAACATATCCACAACTCGTCCACGGTCAATGAGGAACTCCCGTAACTGCAGAGAAAATATAGAGAATCACAACATGTTAAATGTAAATTCCATATGACAAAATCATTTTAAAGCCGAGGAGCAATAGCAACCTTGGAGTTTTCTTCTGCTTCCAGTTGCAGTCTTGTTGATTCTTGAACTACAGTCTCCATGATTGCTTCCTGTTCAGCAAGAGCCTTTCTTGCAGATTCCTCCTTTTCCAACTTTTCCTGCTCAGCAGCTTTCCTCAGTTCTTCAGCTGCAGCTAACCGAACTCGAAGAGATTTGCTCATCTAAAAGATGGACAGAAAATGAATCAATGGAAGATATTAATACCTCCCAACAGTAATTCAAGCTCAGATTTCTAACATGCAAAACAATAGAATTCGTTCCATAAAAAACATTGCTAGGTCACATGCCTTCTATAGGAGACAAGCTGGCGATGGTGAAATGATTCTGACTATTTGGTCTCAACGAGTTGGTAAGGCACTCAAACTAAACTCTACTTGCAGGTTTCAGTAACACAAGAAAACTGACGTAAATATAATGGCTCTCCACGATCTTAAAATTAAGAGCAGAGAAAAAAAAATGCAAGGGTGACAAAAATGTCAGTACATTAGAAATGACCACTATGTTTATACCGTACAATAATGCGGAGGTGTGATTTGGGGTACATAAATTACAAGTCTAAGAAGATACAAGTCCTTCGAAGAACATATAAAACTAACACTGGAGCAACAAGCAATTATTCTTTTCAGACACGCAACACATGGCAGATCCAGAAAAAAGTAGTTTCAGAAAGGAAACAATGTATACAGAGAAAGGTTATGATGAAAAATTAGCAAATAAAAGGGGAGGGAGGTAGAGCACCTCATCAAGAATTGCAAGTGATTTATTCTTTTCATCTGACAAACTGAGCAAACGGGATTGAAGTTCCTTCATTTCAGTAGCTAAAATTGCCTTTTCTCCATAGACTTCTCCCGCATGCTGCCAAAACAAAGGCGAGAAATAATATTGTATTCATTATACATAAAACTGTCAAAGCTAGAAATCTAGTATTTTTTGCATGCTAGAAATTTCTTCCATAACATTGACTACCATGTCATTCGCTTCTTTTGCATGCATCAACATGTTTTTCAATTCTTCCACATTAATAAGAATCTCAGATCCTCCAAGAGCAGCTTCCATTTTGGCTCGTTCTGCAGCTTTCTCCTGAAGTTCCACTTCTTTCATTAAGCTGATAAGAGATTCCATTGACGAAAACAGGGTTTTCTGCATCATTGTTGAATTGTCATAAGACTCAAGAAGTTTTAACTAAGGTTCTTACCAGATTTCGACCTCCAAGCTATATTTAAATATTATTCTACAAATAAGTCTTGCAAGATGCTTGTCCATTTGCTCATTTATAAAATCATGATGACTTCAAGTCATTATCCTAACAATGATACATGCATAGGACGGATGTAACCGAGCCAAGGCCTAATACACTTCCACGTCATTAAGATATTGGGTGAAAGGCGTTCAATGTAAGCAGTGACTCAGAATGTTCTTAATTCTACTGCTTTTTAAAAAACAAAGTACATGTGCTCAATTCTGTTAATTGAGTCCTATGAATTTGATCCGAGGAAAAGTACAACAAAAAATGCTACAAGCAAATTATTATAAGAACATAGATTTAAAGAATATATGTATTATTCAATATATTATTAACTTGTGATCACATGCAACCCTGCCAAGATGTCTTCAACTTGCAACAAACGGACAGTCGCATGAAAATAGTAACTTCAAATGCAACGCATTGAAGACAAATTTTAATCAGTAGAATATCTTCAAACATCGAAGGCAAAATTAACAGGACATACTACTACATATGTCATTAGCTACAATCCTCCTGTAGAAACATGAAGGCTTAAAATAAAGACTACAGGTGTAATTTAGTGAAAGAGAGATATCAAAAGAAAATTTCATAATAAAATGACAGAATGATTTTTGTATTGAATGCAAATTATACAGAAGAATATGCAATATAGTCAGTGGCATTTGTAATTTAGAAATTGAACTCAAAAACTAACATTTATGATATCCTATATCCAAATATAGGAGTACAAAAGCAACAGTACCTTATTACTTTTAGCTTCATCAATGATCTCTTCAAGCAGATCAATTCTGCATACTTGGTTAGACTGGCTAACCACATCTTCCCCTCCAATCTCATCGTCAACATCACCGGCTTTACTCACAGAGCATCCTTGTTCAGAAAAAGAACAGGCACTCTCCATATTTATTTCTGCAGCAATAGGAGTGCTACGATCAAGTTCTGATTGAAGACTACATTCTTCAGAATTTGACATATGCCTTTGAGCTTGATCAACTGCTTCCACCTCAGAGCTTTCTCCCTCAGTCAAGGAAGGTTCATAATTCACTGATCTGTGGCTTATAGCACAGGTAATATCATCATGGTTATCAGCTGTAGGAATGGCAAAATAGTTCCCCTCGTTTCCATTGCCATTGTCATTCATGGGAGCAGGTTGCATTTCATGGCACATGCCAGAAGAAAACAGATTTTCACTCTCAACATCTGCACATTCTAGGTCATGATCAAAGCTTGTACTAGCACCGTGCTTCAAATCATTTGTTGCATTCACTGTAACCTTATCTGTGACATGTAAAGATAAGAATTCTCCAACCTTACCCAAGGCATATTGCTCCTCGCTTTCATTAATTTCGAGAAACTTATCAGTACTGCCATTGGAATTACAAGTATTTGGAACTTCAGTTACTTCCAAAATCAGCCCTTTATGTGGCTCAATAGAATGAGATGCAGTTTCTATATTTTCAGCAGCTACGGTTTCAACAAGCTGTTCATGCCTCAACATATTCCCTTGTCCAGCTATTTCAAAATGCAAATTGATCGTGAGCAATATATCAGTAAATCAGCTCAATGCAACCAAGGAAGATATCCATTAAGATACAAACACACACACACACACACACACACACATTCGGACAAGTAAATGTACCTTCTACATTTGCGACAGTTTCATACCCCTTATCACGTGGAGGAGTTGCAAGAGGGATGAACCTTTTAGACATTAGAGGAATGACTTCATTCAAGACAATTCCTGCGGCTAAGTCAACATCCTTAGAGTGCTCAATAGCCACAGCCCTGAGAATCCTGGCATCAACCTGTTCATTGCATTCGATCAAACATAGCCTATATCAGGAACATGAATCAATAATAAGCCTAGTACATTGCCAGATGACTAACTCATCCTCGAGCATAAGTACTAGCAGCATACCATTAGATTTTTAGTAGGACTAGATTTTTATTGATCATTTTTCCAAAAGCATGCAATTACCAGTAAGAATCAGAAATAGCTGTGTGCATGGAGAGGAGTTAAAGGCGAATATAGCAAAACACTGGTTCTCTACTCATCCAGAGCATCCACATTCATGCACCTACTATTAGATTAGATAATCCAGTGCATAACCCTTCATCTAATTTGTTTAATGTCTCCACAGTCCACACCCGTTAAATTTACCATAGGAATTCAGAACAACATAGAATAATAAACCCAGACGATTTAGCAACTAATCATAGAAAAAAGCAAGCTGAAAACAATTATTTTTTTCAATATATAACGCCTTGCCTGTGGAAATATCTCCTGCAAGCATTTGTAGACCGCGTTGAAACCCATCAGGAGCTGTTGACTGCAAGGTCCAAAAAAATAAGGAACTCGTTTTACGTTTAAGTTTTAGTAATGGAAACACATAACGTAAAAGTACAAAAAGCCATATATGCGAAATAATTGATTAGAACTCCCAATTCATTTAACAAAGACCCAGAGGGAAACAAACTAATTTCGCCGTTTTGGAGAATCAGACTAAAATATCACATATGCATGAAACCGCAACCCCCCCCCCCCCGGGGGGGGGAGAAGAAACCCGTAAGAACAACTTCACCGTTAAGTTTAAAAACCAAAACACCCTCCGCCCCAAAAGGTGATTAGGAAATTAAAGAAGCACACGAACAGAACTGCTGACAAAATTCTCTAAAACCACATACTGTAAATTGTCAGGACAATTCAGATACATTAAATTAGGTATGGCCACCAAGAGAGAGGTAACGAAAAATCAATGCAGAAAAACCCTAAGTATTCCGTCTTGCCAGAACTATTAGCACGGAGAAAGGGTAGACTACATTAGAAAGCAGAATCGCTTAGACAGAGAATCACCACGAAGCTTCCCCCCTGTCAACCGTCTTAGGATTTATTAACTTTTCGATCGCAACCCAAGGAAACAGAGATAGTTTAATAGGGATCGCACAAACCTAAAGTGATGACAGTGGAATTCAGAAGGAGACCCGGAAGAAGCACACGAAAAAGACGGCACCTCAACTATTTGTAGTCTCTGTTTCTCGGAAAATGTGGAGACAGATGGAGCCAAGGATTATTGTTTTTTCGGGCCTTTGACGTTCGAGCTAAGGAATTGGATTTGGATATATGTGTCGTTTCATTATCATGCGAGGACATTTTCGTCAAAACAAAATGAGTTAGTCCAGAGTCCAGTCTACTTTCTTTCATGTTTTTTTTTTTTTTCCCTTTCCAGTTCTACAATTTCGCAATGCGCTGCCTAGACGATTGCCCTGTTAATTTTCTCTGCGGGGTTGAGAGCAAGCAAAGGTTTCAGGCTTTCAGCCGTCGGCCAGAAATAAAAATAAATCAGAATAAATTCGTTAAAAAATATCCCATTAAATTTGGAGAAAATCCTAGTGAATCGAGTCTCCCTTTTCCAAAATCAGTTTAGTTTGTTAATTGAAAAAAGATTATGTTGTTACCCAAAAAAAACAAAGATTATGTAAGAAGTAAAACCATTATCCCTCCTATTTTTACCCAAAAAAATAACAATATCCCTTCTACTAAACAACCTTTTTAAATTGTGATCGTGCTACTTATATTTTTCATTAGACTATAAAGAAATAATAAATTTAAAAAAATAAAGAAACGATAAATGTAGTTAAGCTAATTGTTTAAACTGATAAGAAATTGCGGGATGTAACTAAAAGCCGCGTGGTGCGAAAACAAAGATTGGTCAAGCTGAAGAGCGAGGATAATCATGAAGGACAAGTGGTCGAAAACACCAGTTCTGGGGAAGATCAAAGACAAGAATATATTATTTTCCAAAATCCTAGATCGTCATTTTCATTTTAAGATTACAGGGTCTGTATCTTCATGCCGTCTTTCAACTCTCAACTAGTGATCACACAAACATAGTGGCGGCTCCATGCTTTTGTTGCCTGATTGAAGCTCATCGTTTATTGTCCAGAAAGAGGCTCCATCGATCATAGTAGGATCCCGGAGCTCCCATTGAATGTGAATTATCCTCCTCAACGTTCTTCAAAACTTTCCCTTGCTAGCTTGATTTCCCTGAAAAATAGAAATAGGATGGGTTCAGAAAAAATGTCTAAGAATTAGCAGACAGTTGGTCAATGTATGATTTCTCATTAACAACCATCAAAACCATCATGATTTTGTGAACTTCAGCGCATGGGTGCATAATGTCTCCACTAGAAGAGACAAAGATTTTTCTACCACAGGAACTGAGGCAGAACGTAAGTGTTTTAGTTCAAGAATAGAAAAAGAGGCATAAACTTGATTTCCATTCACAAATGACAAGTCTGTCCCCCAACACAATTGATTTCTATTGCATTGTTGAACTTACTGCGGGTTTGTGTCCAGGCAATCTCCGAGTAGATGGAATTCGTGCCACAGCGGCAGCAGCAGCCACACGAATTCTGCCATATTCATGATACATTCCAAACTCGATCAGTTATTAAAGCAACGAGAGAGTTCTACACATATCAGAGATAAGTTCAATCTATTTATTTCTTGTGGACGGCTACTTAAGATTTTTATTCAAGAACTTGGCGAGAGAGAGCGGTGTGGATAAAATACCTTCTGTGCACATCAACATACACATCTGTTTCATCTACTATTTCTTCCTGCATTGATAAGAACATGAGAAATTATTTCTTCAGTTTAAGTGGATAATACAAGATGTGACAAAGTCCAAGTGAAAATTACCTGTAGGAGTTCTTCAAAAACATCTTCAAGGGTTATGATGCCAATAACTTCCCCATCTTCAAGATTATCAGGCAAGTGTTGAGTACCATTTTGTTGCTTTCTGGGAACCAGAGGAGGTTTGTCAATAGCAACAATGATATTTTCCGCTTTGTCAGAAGTTTTGGTTAGCAATGGCATTGTGAGTTGAGAATTGTGATTCATGACTTTGTCTTCCTCAAGTTTCCCATTTTCACCACCAGCTTGAGTGTTATTTCTCTCCTTGTTCACCTTAACTACAGCTGCCATATGACTACTTCCTTTCTGGAACTCATTCAGAATGTCATACAAAGGCATATCTGATGGAACCCTGCGTTAATGAATAAGAATTTTGTCTATAGTAAATAATAGTACATCAGAAAAGAAGAAACATTTGGTTAATGTGTTTCACTTTCGCACCTAGGAATTCTTCTGATAACAATAGCACTAACCGGAGTTTCTGTTTCGGCTCTCACAGTGAGAAGACTTTTCACCTAACAGGAGAGAGGTCATTAGCGGCAATGAATAATTTCATTTTCAAGCATTCAGTGTTGGTGATCTCACTTACTAGTAAGAGGCCAATTATATTACTGGGATTCCCACAATACACAGGAACACGACTATGACCTTTTGCAAGAATTTTCCCAATTGCTTCCCTGTCACATGAGGAAAAGCAGAAACGTACTTCAGCTGTAAGTTTACAAATATGCACAGAAACCAGCCATAGGAGAAGAGGAGAAAGAGGTTTGGGATAACACAAAGACGTTTAAAATGATATTAAACTAGCAGATGTGATGAAGAAAGATAAATGAAGATTCTGCGACTGCTATGCACATTTGAACAGAAAAAGCTCAGGAAAATCAACCCACCAATCCAACTTGGAATCAATATCCAAAGAAAAGGTTGATTCAATTGGTGTCATTGCCTCCTCTGCAGTCTGAAATACGAATATACGATGCATAATTGCACTAGAAAAAAAAGGTCGGTGAAAAATGAGGCCCTCACTGAAGTTCACATGCTAGTCCTATTCTATTTGCCTCTCACACCCAAAAAAAAAAAAAGAATGTTGTTCAAAGCAGAAGCTACCTTTTCAGTAAGATCTAGTGCTCCGCTGATAATTGTTGTCTCGTCATGTGTGAGTTCGCCCCCTTTACCAGCCTAAAACGGTCAAAATTATGGATCAATTTATTCGGAAGATACTTTACTTTTTAATGCATTACTTCACTTAGTGTGAGTCATCATTCTCTTGTTCCAATGTAATACTCACATGACTTCTCATGCCAACCACATGGTAATGACTTGAAGGCACTATAATTAGCACAGAAGGAGATCCAACCGTTGATTTTATAAATGGATTACCTCTTGACTGTGGATTGAAACGAGGGCCTTCAATTGTGATCGCCTAAACAAGGCATCATTGTGTCCAAGAACCGCATCCAGAACCTGTGAGCATGGAGTTGCAGCATACATATGCTCAAAAAAACCATGAGCTTTTCAAGTGCAATTGACCAGGATCCTTGTGCTTTATGTAACATTAATCGGTTCAAGCAAACTTGCAAATTTCGAGTATTACCTTTCCAATAGGATAAGCAATTGGATAACAGATTATCATCAGAATGCGCACCACCCCTACGAAATTTGCACCAACGTAGAGCCTAAATCTTGAGCATATAGCTTGTGGGATAACCTAAACTCAAATTTCACACAGTTGACAGACATAAAATGCTTCAATATCTGTGTATAGTGCAAAAGGGGTTGGAAAAAGAAATTGTATATTTTACCTCTCCAAAAGCCAGAACAAATGTTACAGACAGTATTACTGCTAGAAAAGGGTGAAAAATTTTGTCAAGGTAAATTGGAAGTGCCTGCAGAAGAAAAACGGAACATACAGGTAGAAAAGAAGGATTAATATCAGAGATTGGAAAACCAGATAAACAGAAAGAGGTTTAAAGTATATTTTCAGTTCAATATCTGTCAAACAAAGCACATTTCAGCTTCTTTGTACCTGACTGACTGATAACTGACAATCTAATAACAATGTCTCTCTTTGAGGGGAGAAGGTGCCATCTCATAGCTAATGACCCTTACTCTAGGAGCATTCGGTAATTTTCATATTTCAGTAACAACGTGTACTAATAAGCTACGGAACAATTGAATGACAGTTTATGCTTGATGTGATCCAAGAACTAGCTAGAGAATAGTGTTATAACTTCAGAGTTGCGCAGAGGAATGTGTTGATCATTCAAAATATTCATACGGATATATGCCAGCAAAATAAAGATGCTGATTATTATCTAGGTACAACTGTTTGCACGTACCATAGTCTCTCTCCCTCTCTCCCTCCCCCCCCCCCCAAAAAATACTGAGGAATCAGTGTTCTGGCCATTTGCTTCGAAGTCAGAAGCAAGATAACTTTCTAAGTATCTAATTATGATGAATATAATTAATATAGCAAAAAAGATAGAGCAGAAGTAAATTAGGTTATGATTTACGAATACCTCCATGGCACAAGCATTGCAAAGAAGCAGAGTAACGAGCAGCTGATGCTGCTTCTGAATAACTGGCAATATAGCAGCTGTAAAAGGGGAATAGAAAGTAAAAGACGGCTTCATTAATAAACTCTCTCGCATAGCTTACATATATACAAACAGAGCAACAAATATAGTTAAGGACGAAGGAGGTTGACGAACCTGCTTGTTTCTTCTCTATGGAGGTGCCACTGCGCTGGAGAATTTCAAGGTCAACGATGCCCAAAGACATAAGGCCGAGGGTGAGACCAGACATGATGCCAGCGAAGAGGACGAGAAGGCAAGAAATCCCAGCATAAACGAACCACCATAACGTCCCGAACTCAATATCCTCAGCATCGTATACGATGTGGTCCGGCTGGAACCTCGTCGTCCCTCCAAGCTTCAATCTCAGGGAATTCAACGGCAACATAGTAAACGAAAACGATGATGAAAAAAAAAGACCCAGATGAACTAAGGGGCCACACTGGGGGGATTAAATACAGAAGAGGCATGAACATCATTGCATTTGCACAATAATTTACCCCTATGATCCTGCCCAGTGAGTGGGCTTCAGTAATTCTCTACCGACTACCGTTTGATAATGGACGTGGGCTCCACTGTCCCATGCTGATAAGCGGTCGACGCTTGTGCGTTTCGATTGTGTGCTCCGCAAACTGTCATTTTTCCAATTACGCTCGTGTGACAGGGTATGAGAGCGAACCAATAATGTACGTTTATGCATATGGGACATTACATTCCATTGTTTTCTAGCCAATGTAAGTTAGTACCGAACTCACGCCGCTTGGCCTGAATAAGCTTCCAACTTGCACATCCACATAACTGTATTGTCCCAACTAGATTATATTTTTGTCATCAATTTTTTTTATTTGATTTTTTTCCATTTCAAGTATTAGTAATTTTTAGCTTAGTTTAAATTAATAGTGATGAAATCATCACTAAGTGTGAGAGAAGATGGTTGATGAGGTTTTTCGGTAATATGCAAGGAGTTTTCCAATAAAATTCTATGCTCCTTAATCCGAATCTATTTATAAGATTTTAAAATTTGAATTGATTTGATCTTTTTTATAAGATTCTATTAAGGATTGTCTAAACATGAAATGTATTTTTACCAATTTTACTCTTAATTAATTACCTATTCGTTTTCATCCTTTTATCTTATAACTGTTATTTCTCTCATTAAATAAAGACATATTTAAAAGAATTAGGTTTAATTTTTATATATTTATTATTTTAAACTAATTTTAACTATTTTTTTAAATCGTATAATTTAATTATATGAAAATAGCAGGGCGAGCACGCGATCTTTAGCCATTGTTGATTATTTGCACCTGCCTTTTGATGAAACGAGCATGATTACTACTTGTGGATGAAAAAAAGCCCACCTAACATCTCCTTTTGCTATTATTATCACTATTTTATCTTTTAATGAATGCCCGTTTCCCTATATTTTGGATCCCATTCCGGCAGGCGGCAGACCCTTAAACTGCGAGCAACCTTACTCCCTGAGCTGTTTGAAAATTGTATCAGGACGCAACATAAGGCTTTGCATGAGGGTTGCTCAAAACGGAGTTTTGAAGCCCAGCCCAATATGGGGACCAAAAATTCGATACTCCTTGCAACCCTTTACCTCTTTCTTCTCAGGCTCTTTAATCTTCTTAGAACGGGCAAAACGAATTGAGCGCGATTCAATAAGTATAGAAGTTCAAAATTATTTTAGTTTAGAAAGGACTTTTAGATGAGCCCTTGCACCAAAAAAAATTTAGGGGTGTTTGGATGCTTTTTAGGGGGTGTTTGGCATTCTCAAAACCACGGTTTCAGAAGCACTTTTCCGCAAAACGAGATAACATCCTCCACATATTTACTTTGTAATTCGTAAAAGCACTTTTGAAACTATGGTTTGGTTTCTATTCAAACACCCCCTTAAAATCATGGCTTTTGAAACCATGGTTCTAGAAAATCTAAACACCTCATTAAAACCCAATAATTGATTATTATGCCAAACCATGGTTTCAAGGCTAAAACCATGGTTTTTTAAGAAGCTAGGTGTTTTGGATTAATTTTTTTAGAAATGATTTTACAGAGTTCAAGATAAGTATATGAGAGAAATTTTATTTAAATTTATATGAAAGCACTTCTTTTAAATGCTTTTGAGAGGTCCCAACTTTTTGGGTGGAAAATCAAGATTTTATCAATATATATACATATAATCGTTAATTAATTACATAAGTAATAAATTGATCTAACATATGTACATTCGTTATTTATATATTTTTTTGGTAATTTACACATTAAAAAAGTAATTTTAATAACATTCTCATTTTATCAAAAAAATTTTTGTATAGAATCTATTCCACTCAAAATCTACTGCTTAAAGTCACTTTTATCACTTTTTTTTTTTTAAGAATCTATTCCGAAAGTTAATTCAAACACCATCTTAAACTAATTCTCAAGGCGGTTTTCAAGAATTTTTTTATGTTTTAATTTTGAATTAAAATATGAAGATACAATTTGCTAGATATTTATTCTGGGTGATGAAGATAAAGTTGACAAGATTCTTGACTTTACGTGAAGACAAGGATAAAAGAATATATAATTTTGGATCTGCTACGCAGTAAGTACTTTTAATTTTGGATCATGGGGTTCGATGAATGACTCTCTTTTTCCTGTTTCCCGAGCTTCTTTTTTGTCACCATTGTTTTCAGAACTTTGCTCTTTGAATCTGTACCCTGCAATGATTTTGCTTGGTTGACGAGTACTTCGGGGAATATTTTGGCAGTTTGGCATGTCCTGCGTAATATCTCCCACATCATGCATCTATTGCTTTTTTTTTTTTTTTTCATGCTTGAAAAGCTGTGCCTTTGAAAGTTGAGCTTCACTTGAGATTTATATATTTCTATTGCAAGGCCTGCAAAAAATTCTCTCTACAAGTAGCAGTATAACTTTCATTTCAATTCTATCTACCTGGGAAAAATTCCATCTTGGATCTAGCATGCCACTTACAAAGAGCCACCTAGAAGAGCCATTTGCCACATATCCATTTTTAACGCAGTTTTTGCCATGCCATGGTCCCTACGCCAATTTTCAGATGTTCAGGGATCAACGACTTTTGGGAAAAAAAGAAGCGTGCATTAGGAGGGGTGAGTTTTAATTGAAGAAATGAACCATGGGAGTTTGGGACTTTGATTGGGTTGAGTACATGGGCATTGTTGTTATATATTATTTTCTTTGTGAAAAAATAAGTATCCTCCTATTAGAAGTAATCCTATTCAAGATACTGTCAGGCACTAAATGTGAGCACCTCTCCCAGCAGGAATTCGAATCTTTGTTATTTATTACTCCTCCGGTCCTTAATATAAGATTTATTTAACTAATTTGATTAAATTAAAAAAGTTAGGTAAACTAGTTAATTTTAAAAAATATGACATATTTTTCCTAAAACACCAAAATCATCTTCCTTAATATCCTCTCTCCCTCTTCTACTTAATTATGGCTGAAGGAGTATCATAGGGGTAATTTAGAAAAAATAATAAATATAAAAAATAGATCTTATATTTATAATTAAAATCAACTCAATAATTAGGTCCTCTATTAAGGGTCAGAGGAGTATTTTGTTAAAAGCCAAATGCAGCTTTGATTGGGCTCACTAATGAAAACAAAATAAGGCCTTTAAGCTTTTGGCCCGTTTAATTGTAGTGGATTCTCTTGTCTCTGAAAGTTGAACTATGAGCCCATCTTAGTTTTGTGCTTTTGCAAGAAAGTCCCCTGACTTCTGGTTATCTTTTTGAAGTTTGTTTAGAGTTCCGTTTAAAATAAATTTTTAAATAAATTTATATAAATTGAAATAAAATTTTTTTTATATATATTTGTATTACGTAAATTATATTTGAAAAGCGACTTATAAATTCATTCGCTCGCTATGTTCATAAGGGCATGGTGGCGGTTGAACGGCTAACCTGCTCGTCCGCATCAGGTATGGTCAACAAAACTCGCCACATTGTCCTTCACAAGCTAGATGCTGCTTTTGCTCATCACAAGTTCAATCTTCACGTGAAAAAATTCATAAGTAGCCTCAAAGTAGTACGGAGAAAAGACCATGAACTAGACCTGGCAATAGAGAAAGACAAGCGGCATAAGCTCAGCACTCCTATTGTGAAGGAGGTTCTGAATGAACCGGGTCAAGTAATTTCATTGCGATATCTTGAGAAACAGCGCGAGAGGATGTCTTAATTTCAAAATTACAACCTTTTTAAACCAAAACCCTCGCCTGTTTGATGTCTGCCATGATCGTATCAAACCAAAATCAAAGCGTGTTTGCTTTCCAAGAGTAAGCGATCGGCTTAGAAATTTTCTGGAAGAAGACAAAAGGATTTACAGAGAAAACGAGCTCTTAATTGTGTCGAAGCTATGTATATTGTTAATGATTTTGAAGGATAAGGTGATTAGCGCGGATAAATTGCTTCACGTGAAAAGGGAATTTGGGGTCCCGAATGATTTTTTGATTAATTTGATTCTGAAGTATCCACAGTATTTTAGGTTAACTAGGTGTCCTAGGGAGGAAAAATCATTTCTTGAATTGGCCTCCTAAAACCCCGAATTTGCAAAATCTATGATTGAGCAAAGGGTTGAAGAGGAGACGAAATTGATGAGGATTATGGTTTGGTCAAATTTCTTCGTGAAGCTTCCACCAGGAGAAGATGAGGGAGCGGACTAGAGATTGGACTGAGCTTGATTACATATCGTTATACGAGGATGTGTCCCATTTGGATCAAGCATCAGGAGAAATGGAGAAGAGGACCCTTTGAGTATTTCACGAGCTGCTTTCTCTTCTGTTGTACGAAAGGATTCCAGTGCCAATATTGGGAAAGTTTTACAATGACTATAGGTTTTCAAACGCATTTCCAAGTGCATTTACAAGGCTTTCAGGGATTTTCTATATATCCTCAAAAGGAGGGATTAAAACAGCAATGTCAAGAGAATCTTACGAAAATAGTGAGTTGATTGATCGAGATCCACTGCTTGAGATAAGAGGTAAATTTGTTGAGTTGTTTGAAGAGGGTTGGCGGCAAAGAGCAAAGGAGTTGCGATTGACAGGAGAACAAATTAAGGAAGACATGGAATTTTTAGCTGCTAAAGCTAGTGAGGGTAAAAAAAGCATTATTAAGGGATAAAATGCTTTAAGCGAAAGATGGCTTTGATGACCGTAAGAAGAATAAAAAAAAGTGAATCATTATTGACGGCAGATAAATTACACTGAGAGATTAAAGTTTATATTATCATACATGTTGAGATGCCCAGATTATTGTAGGAAAAATTTTGTAGTTAGTACTCTGTGATAAATGTTATTAAAGAAAAAGCTGGAAGTTTGTTGTAGAGTAATTTTACTTGGTGATTCACAATTTTTTCAGTCCCGATGGTTGAGACCGATTTCATATTAGTGGAGCAGAGAAAGATTGCTGTTTAGAA